TTTTTTTTTACACAAATTTATTTATTACTTTTTATATATCTGCCCATTTTAAATAGTTTTTGTTTTTTTGCTGACTAGTTTTTCTTTTTTCCCAACAGGAATTTGTTTTGTTTTGGAAAAAAAAAAAAATAGAAATTTCTTTTAAAAATAAGTGATGAGGTTTTTTTTTGGGGGGTGTGGAGGGTAAGGGAGTAAAAAGAGGAGGGAGGAGGGGGCGTATCCGAAGTAAAAAATTTGTCGAGACGATAAGTTTATTTTGAATTTACGGGGAGAGAAAAACCAAAAAAAAAAAAAAAATAGCGAAAATCAACGAGAAAAAAAAATAAAAACAGGGAAAAAGGTTAAAAAAAAAATCGAATTTAAAAAAAAAAGTACAAAACAACCGACAACCGACAACCGTTTGTTTGATTAAGTGTTTTTGGTAAAAAAAAAAAAAATTTAACCGGAAGGCAAATAAATAATTTAAATAAGAAAAATCTTTTTTTGTTGTTGTTGAACTTTAACCCTTTTTATTCCCAACTTTTCTTTGTACCTTCTACTCCCCACCCCCACACAGCAACCGCAGCATCTTTCCCCCTACCTTCCTTTTCGCCCCCCTCGTAAAAAAAAGAAAATTTTTTAAATTATTTTTAATTATGAAAAATGATTTTTTGCTTGCTTGTTTGTTTGTTTGGTTGTTTGTTTGTTTGTCCCTACCTGACATTTTTCTTCTTTATCTTTATATATTTTTTTTTTGTTCCAACCGAGTCATTCTTTCCAGTCAGTCAGTCATTCAGTCATTCATTCATTCTTCTTATATTTGTCGTAACAATGAAAAAAAAATATAAATTTTTCTTTTCTTTTTTCTTTTCTCTTCTCTTCCTTTTATTCTCTCTCTCTTCCTCTCTCTCTCTCCCTCCCTCTCTCTCTGTCTCTCTCTCTCTCTGTCTCTCTCTTTCTCTCTCTCTCGCAATTAATCATTATTTTTCTTTGTATATATTTTCTTTTCTTTTCCGTTTTTACTGTCAAACCAAATATTAACAACAAATTTTAAATTACATTCGCTAAAGCAAAATTTATTTTTATTTTTATTTTTATTTTTACTCTCAAAACAACAACAACAATAATAA